TTACGTATATTTTTACAATTCTGGCTGATGGAGTTAAACTCCTGCCCATAGTAATTTTCAAAGGCAAAAGACTTTCTAGAGGTTCCTTTCTCTTGGGTATTGTTATTAAAATGCAAGAAAACAGGTGAATGGATGAAACTTTAATGAATAAATGGTTAAATAAAATTTGAAGAAAACGGGTTTCAACCTATGAACAAAAATGTAGCTTATTAGTGATGGATTCTTTTGAAAGACACCTTACTGACTCTGTCAAGGCAAAATGTAATGAACTGAACATGGTTAGATGCATAATCCCCAGTGGACTTACTTTGTTAGTTCAGCCCCTTGATGTGTATATTAATAAACTATTCAAGGACCAAATGCAAAACAAATGGCAAAACTGGATGGCACTTGGCAGTTTTGAGTTTACAAAGAAAGAAAATTTAAAAAAGCCTCCTTATAATCTTATTTGTCAATAGATAGTTGAAGGTGAAATGATATTCTAGCTGATATGATCATTAATTCGTTTAAAAAATGTGGTATTCCTCATGGTATTAAAAGAGAATCAGAAGATGAACAAATGGTAATTTCAGTAGAAGATAGAGAAAATTATCCAATTGTCTACATTGAAAATCTGGAATATATGTTTGAGTGCTAGTTAGTAGCTATTTCTTATATTTCTTATTAGTAAAAAAAAAATTAATATATTTATTTTATATTTATAATGCAAATGTCTTGCTTCTTCATGAAACCAAAGATGGTTTCACTAAAGATTCATTTTGAAATTTATGCGATAAGCAAACAAATCTTGTTGTAGTTATGAAGGTTAAATGAAATTCTTGGTGGTTATAAGATACGTAGTGAATATCTTTTGCTATAGTTCATTTATTAAAAATTAGAAATACTAATAGCATATAAAGTCTTGGTAATTTAGAATTATTTTACTATATGAAATAAAACTATTGTATTTGCTTGAATACAAATATTTAAAACCCAAATTAATTTAGGTCACCAGAAATAGAAAGAAATTTAGAGGTTATAGAAGGTGGAACAGAAATAGTAGACATATTAGAAAAGAAGTATAGACCAAGCTTCGGACAAGAAAAGACAATGAATGTCTTTACGCTCGAACAATTACTCAATAGAGAAGGAAACAAGATGATTATATGGGACCAGACTAAGAAACTCAGAGGTTGTAACAGCAAGAAGAAAAAAACAAGATGGTTTCAGGAATTAGAGAAAACGGTGTTAGAAAGCGAAAACGACAGAAAGTCTTTTGCCTTTGAAAATTACTATGGGCAGGAGTTTAACTCCATCAGCCAGAATTGTAAAAATATACGTAA